AGGGCCCCCCCCCAATAGCAAAAACCCCTCCAAAAAAAAAAAAAAAAAAAGACCTGTCTTCAGTTACTGTCCCCAGCCCAGTGCTCCTTTGCTATTACTAAGGCGGAAAAAAGCCGGAGCTGCAGTGGGATCCTGAGAGGGCGGTGGCGAGCTGGGAGCAAGTTTGCGGGTGTGTCTCCCCTAGTCCTCTAGCTCTAGGCCTCTCCCTAGCTCCTCTCCAGAGATTTGTGCAGCCCCCTCCTCCTCTTCTTGCTGAAAGCCTCTCTCTTTGGGGGACCAACTGCTCAGGCTCCTCTCCCACATAGAAGCACTTCCAGTCTTCAGCTCCTGCAAACTGGACACGCCCAACAGGCCACTTGGGGAGCACGGGCTCCACCACGACCACCTTACAGAGCCTCGCGTCTCTTTTCCACCCAAACCAGGGTATAACTCTCCAGTGTTCACTGAGTACCTCCTGCACACGAGGCCGTGTCTCCACTGGTAGACTCAGTGATCATTCCTCTGTGTTTTGTAAGAATGAAATGTAGCTTGGATGGGTCCAGAACAAGTCCAGGCTGGCAGGGGGTGCAGCCTGGAGCCACAGGGGTCGACTTCCAGAGCTCACTGTGCTGTGGTCCGCTGAGGGGGGAGGCTTCCGCTGCCACACACAGCACCGCGTGGTGGGGTGACCTCGGTGTGCAGCCCCCGGCAGGCATGCATGTTCTGCCCCCACACAGATCCCGATCTGTGCTCTGACACAGCAGGTCTGGGCAAGGACTAGAAGTTTGCATTTTTAACAAGCCTCTGAGATAATTCAAACGCAGGTGGGCCTGACCAAAGTCCTCAGTGAGTGAGGGTAACCCATTAGTGCAAAGAAGAGTGGTCACAGGAAGTGCTTCTCCATTGGCACCAAAACCAGAACCGAAAACCACCATAAGCCGCCAGGAAGAAGTGAGGGCTGAGTGGCAGGACTGGTGGAGCCGCCTGGAAACTTCCAGATGGCAGGGTACAGCCACAGCTGTCTTCAGAATCTTCAGCTCTAAATATTCCCTTTTAACACACTCCGCTCTGGCTGACCAAAACAACACGAGCCCCGACACCCCCCTGTCTGTCTCTACAAGGAGCCCTGGGCGAGATGGTACTCTCAGTATTGGCTGGCCAAATGGGTGCACTCACCCCAAATCGACAGCCTCCTATCAACGGAGATACCACAGCCGAAACCTGAGAGCCAAGACCAGTCAGCAATCATGTTTTCAAAGTTTATGTACTTATTTCTTCCACGAGCAAGAACAACAGAGAGAGAAAGAGAGGAATAGGGAGGGAGGGAGGGAAGGAGAGAGAGAGAGACAGCTTTGTCCTCATGCTCTAATTCGCCCCCAGCCTCATCCAGCCGGATCATGGGCACGCACAGGCCTAGCATATTCAGGGTGGTCTTTGGACATGAGCCTGGAAGCTTCCCACACGGGTCAGCTCACAGCACATCGCAGTTGACCAGATAGTGTGCACTGTCCAGTCCCAGAAATCATGGCTTTGTTTATTCTTACAAGGAACATGGCAGGCAGGCTAATTGTCTCCCTCACTCTCAGTGGTCAAAATAATTTTCTGCCCTGGGCTGCCTTACAACAGTCCAGTCTGTTCATCTTAGGAGTTATGAAGAACTTCACGACAGCCTCGTCACGATTTTTTTGTACACCTTCAGCTCACGTGTGTTTAATGCTATCTTGCAGAGGAGTGCGAGGTTCGCTCTCATCTCATGGCTGTACCCTTAGCCTTCTCAATGCAATGTTTGCAGGGTTTGTGTGCTCGCTCTTTAATAGTTGGAAAGAAAAATGCTTGAGAAAACAAGTCACCAACACGCAACCCTAACAGAGTCTGGGGCTGACATTTGCAGAAAGTCTTGCTCCCTATTTGACTTCCCAAACTCGGAAAGAGAAGTAGGTATGTAAACCAACCTGGTTTGACTTCCTTCGAGTGATTAAATAGAGCCAGGCTCCGCTGACAGAGAGCCCTGCAAGGTTTTTGCCTCTTTTGGAGAACCAAGAATGTCTTACTGATCCCGAATGCCTGATGCCTTCCATTTATAAAGTGGATGACAGCGGCCATGGGGTGTTCCTTGCCGCTGGGGGTCATACTCTGCTCTGATGCGTTCACTCGGTCCCATTGGTGCCAACAGAACTCATCGAGCAGACGGAGGCATGAACAAAGCATGCTCTCCCGGCCTCCCGCAGGGAAGAGGGCCTCATTGCAACACCCCCATCATCCACAGGCCGCTTCTCACAGAGAGTTGGCCTCATCCTCCTGCCTGGTAGGATCCACTGGCAGGCCTCTCAGCCTCGTCATTTGGGATGCCACTTCCTCTAACTTCTCTGGCCTCCTCCTCCCTTTATTTTTGGATTTGCAGAAATGTCAGGGTGGCCAGGTATCAGTGACAGGAAGTGGAGGACTACGAAATAATTCCTGGGGCATGTGTAACTCTGAACTCCTCACAGGCTCTGTTTCACTGGGCCTTAGCAGGATGGGTGAACAGCTAATCCCTCGCTTCAGTGAGATCTATTTCTGATGCTTGGGGAGCCCAGGGGCCAAGGAGAGGCCACAGTCATCTCACTAACCCACGCACCATGTCCCACCCTACAGACTGTGCTTTTCGGATTTCGCCAGCCACGTTTTCCATGATGACTAGCCTCCTACCTATTACGGAATTTGTCAGCAAGATTCCCTTTTTCCTGCCAGCTTTGGATTTCCTTGACATCAGGTCCTTTTCTGTCACCTGGGAGGGCCAGGAAAGTACTAAAACAATGGGACTCACTAATGAGAAACTCGGACAAGACGTCCACACACTTCCATTTCTTAATCTGCCATAATTCCAAATTACGGAGCAATCAAAATTTCAAATAATCTGTTCCATTGTCTCCTTCCCATCTTTTTATTTCCATAAGTTGCCAAAGTAACTTAAACCTGCATTGCCTAATATGGTAGCTATTAGTCACGTGTGATTAGTACGATCTTGAAATGGAGTTTCTCAAGCCAGCCATGAGGCATGGTGGTTAAGAGAGCTGGATCCCACATGGCCTACTGTGCAGTTCAAGTCCTGGACCCAGAGACTTAAAAAACAACCAAGTATGTG